ACGTAGTTGGTACTCAAGCTTACTTTCAGCGGTGAGTTTTTAAGAGTTCATAAGAGCTTAAATATATTGTTGTACCTGATAAACAATATATTGGCATAACAGAGAGTGAATGGAAAAAACGTTTTACCAATCATAAGCAATCCTTTAAAAATAAAAAGTATTCAAAAGACACCATGCTGTCAAAATATATATGAATTAAAAGATTAAAATATTGATGATTTTATAATGAATTGGTCCATACCTAAAACAGCACCTGCATGTAACAATATTTCCAAAAAATACATACTATGCCTACAAGAAAAACTTAAAATTATTACACATGCAAACCAAGAAAGTTTATTAAACAAAAAATCAGAATTAATTTCTAAATGCAGACACGAAAATAAGTTTCTCCTAAAAAAATATAAAAATAAGTGAGCTCAAATAATAATTACATTGAATCCCCTCTTGTTTGTTTTTTGTTCAACGTATCGTTAAGTATTTGAGTTAAATAGACTAGCATAATAAAAATAGTAATTTAGGTGAATCAACCTTTAAAATAGACAAGATTAAGAGTTTTTATAAAAAATAATTTTTATAAAAAAAAAAGAATTTTTATGTTGCCTGTTGTTATTTTTTATAAAAACTTTCTGAATGTGAAAGTTTTTATAAAAAATAACGACAGGCAACATAAAGATTCTGCGGGCGACCTAAATTAACAAACTGGTTGCATTCAGTCACAAGTTGAACACATAGCTTTGTTACTAAAATACGTCATTTTTTAGAGTTAATTTATTTTTCAAAAGACGCCAAAGCATTACATTTCTTTAATTAAGTAGTCTGGTTTTTATCATTTTTATTAAAATGTTGCAATTAGTTATTAATTTAAATTTATAGTTCAGTATTATATATATATATATATATATATATATATATATATATATATATATATATATATATATATATATATATATATATATATATATATATATATATATATATATATATATTATTAGATTGGTTTAAACCAATCTAAAAAATATTAATTAAAAACCAAACTAATTTTTTATTGAAAATATTGGAGTTGCTCTAGATAAGTTGGAAAGAGATCAAACAAAAATTAGTGACACTTGAAATTTTAAAAAGCAGATAAACATGTTATCATTTTTATCAACTTAAAGAAAATATTGGAAACTAGGTATCTTCAGACTGTGACATGAGTAATGCTCATTTCCTTGCAAACATGCTAGTTCTTAGATATTTTGGATCTAATCTTTCTGAAAATGTAAATGAAGCTGCAATGACCTTTATAGATAAACTTTTAAAGAACTTGGTACCAACAATATTCTAGTTTAAAGCCAAAACTGCTCCATTCGATAAAAGATATGTCTGATTAATCTGTTTAAAAAAATGTATCACCAATAGAATAGTGAAAATCTCTAAAATATTTGGGCTGCAACATTATCATGGATATTGAAGGTTGTTAAGTGCACCAGCTTCTAGAGGTAGAGTTAAAAGAATTTATTCAACTTTTGGATTTGTTATGAAACAAGATGAGTAGAAAAAATGGAAAAAGCTTATTTTTATATTAGAACATTAAATAATGATTTATTGGTTGATGAATTACGACAGTAATGTTAATAGAAAATATAATTTACTCAAGTAAAATGACTAATGCTTTTATTTAATTAAAAAAGTTGACTAAAAGCTTTTTTAAAAAAAATAAAAATGAGTTTAAACCAAAAAAACCATGTTTTTTTTGGGTTTTTTTAAAAAAATAAATGCTTTTTTTTTTTTTTTTTTCAACAAAAAAAAGGGTTTTTTGCAACCCTGGTTTATTGTAAACATAATTGTTACTTTTTTTAATAAAGTAATTAGTAAACTTAATACTTTATGTATTTAATATATTTACATAGTAATTTATGTATTTAATAATTTTATATTTTTATTATATATTTTTTATTATATATTTAATTATGTATTTAATAATTAGATAATTTATGTATTATTATGTAAATATACTAAATGTTTACATAATAATTTATGTATTTAATAATTTACAATGGAATTTCGCAGAGTATAGTAACTTAAAAAACGTAATATAAATATATTTTCCATTTCAAATGTTAGTTTTTTTCAGCTTAGATCTTTTCATTTTCTTTAAGATTTTCTTTTTGTTAGATAATTTATCTTACAAATTGCGTGGTCAAGTTGTAAAAACAAAATATTTTATGCGTGGTCAGAAATGGCTTTCGATCGCACTTCTTTGATTTTTATCAAAGAAGTGCGATCAAACAGCAACCTTAAGTCTTTATCAGACGAATTGTCTAGTACAAAAAGTTTCTTATTTCCGGCCCTGTATATGTATTTATATCTACAGGGGCTATTCTAGGAATATTATTTAGGTTGCGGTACCCCCTGTGCCGATGCCTGCTGAGTGTACTTCAGAGTGCTTTAAATGTATCTATATTTAATAAATATATATCTTTATTTAACAAATAATTATCTATATTTAACAAATATATATCTATTTTTAATAAATATATATCTATATTTAATAAATATATATCTATATTTAATAAATATATATCTATATTTAATAAATATATAACTATATTTAATAAATATATATTTATATTTAATAAATATATATATTTAAAATATATGTCTATATATAAAATATATATATATTTAAAATATTTATATATTTAAAATATATATATATTTAAAATTTATATATATATATATATTTATATATATATATACACACACACACACACACACACACACACACACACACACACACACACACATACAGTAACGGAATAATTATTATGGATTTTTCAGTTTTTAAATAAAAATCAAGTTTTTTACTTTAAAAACAATCATAACATAAAAATAAAATTACAAGTTATATATTCCAGTTATATCAGCGTTTTTAATACTTGGTTTGACCACCTTTGGCAGCTTTCAATGCTTTCACTCTCTTGGGCATGCCTATGATTAAATCACGGCATAACTTGGTGATTTTTTTGCTATGGAACCAGACATGGATTAACCTCTCTATAAGCTGTGCTTTTGTAGTAATTGGAACTTTTTGTATTTCGTCCTTTAAAATGTTCCATAAATTCTCAATTAGGTTCATATCTGGTAAATTCCCAGGCCATTCGAGTACAGAAAATCCATTGTCTTGGAACCATCTTATTGACAATTTGCCCGTATGGCAAGGAGCATAATCTTGTTGAAATATAAAATCCTTATTAGTGAACCAGTCTCTGACTTGAGTGACCAAACATTTCTCCAACACCTCTATATACTTTTTCTGGTTCATCATTCCTTCCACAATATGTAGACGGCTCGTTCCATAGATGGATATCGCTCCCCACACCATGATTTTAGTAAGGAACTTCATTGTTTTCTTAAGACACTCAGGCTTAAACTCCTCTCCAGGCCTTCTTCTGACTATCTGAATTCTATCATCCAACACAGCAATTGTTAATTCATCTGAAAATACTACCTGAACAAAAAAAATGTCTAATAAGTTTCAAAGAAATTATTGTACTAACATTAATAGTCATGATCAACAAGTTAACATCTACTGATATTAGTCAGAAATTATGATGAAACTGAAAGAAGTTAAGAAATCAATACTATCAGAGATCTAACAAAAAGCTAAATTAATGATTACCTTGGACCAATCTTCTTGCGTCCAACTTCATGCTCAACAGCCCACCCATGCCTGGCATGCTTCATTTTGTTTGTGAGTCTTGGCTTTTTTCTTGGTCTGTATGCCTTCAGTTCCTGCTCCAACAAGCGATTATTCACTTTTTTACGACTGACATTAATACCTTGACTTGCTAGTTCCATAGATATCTTCTTGCAAGAACTTCTTCTATCTTTGAGGGCCATTACTTTGATTTTTCTCTCAAGACAAATCAAAGTAATGGGGTAGTGATTCTTTTATGACTGCAATTTCCAACTCTTCCAGCTTCAACGTTTCAACCCTCATCCAGCTTCCTTTTCACTGCACTAACTGTTTGTGCTGAAAGCTTCAATTTCATAGCTATCTCCTTTTGTTTTAGGCTACTATTCTCCAACAAAACACAGATTTGTCCTTTTTTTCTAGGGCTCAAGTCTTTTCTTTTCCCCATCACTTCAAAATCAGTCAAAAATGTCACAGATTTTGCTGAACAACTATTTTTTTAATTTTTTAGAACTGAAACTTAAAGTTTGTAGAGTTCAAATACATACAGAGCGCACCATACACCACAGAGAGTAAAAGAAATTGACACTAACTCAAATTAACATATTTCAGAATTTACAGTTAAATTTCAGAAACTTTTGTTGTCTAGCTCTTAAATGACCCTAAAATTAAAAAAATCAAAAACATATCATTGACCACTGAAAACCTTTTAGTTGTCTCAACTTATGGAATTTAGTGACAATTCTAAAAATACATAATAATTTTTCCAGTACTGTAAATGTATATGCACACACACATAATTAGTTTCATAATTATACAATGTGCATTAAATATTTTTTTTTTCAAATAATTAAATTTTTTTGTTTTTAAATTTATTTTGTTTACAGAAGAAAGTTAAGGTAAAATTTTCTTATAAACTCTGCACATATTGTCATTCCTCTCTCTTTTTTTTTTTTTAAAACTCAACTTACTACTTGCAAACAGCTATTTGCAAGTGTTAGAATGTGCTTTATATTATATAAAATAATCCATTTGTTATTTATTATTTGTATTTTATAATTATTTAAAACATAGTCAAGCATAGTTTTTTGTTAAAACTTCAAGTGTAGCTTTTTTCTCATCTTCTATACTAAGTCATAAAAAGTTAAAAACATGCTGATGTTGATAAAAATTGCTACATCCTGCCTGCTGTGTGTAGTGTTTTTTATTTGTGTTTTTACTTCAATTTAAATTAATTAAAGAAATACTAATTGGATGTAGTTGATTTAATTTTGAGTTTTTCACACATATTTTATGATTTATTCTGTTGAAATTTTAGACCTGAAGGTAAAGACTATTCTGTTCATCGTTTGATATTAGGAACACACACGTAAGCTGATGGTTTTCTCTTATTTTTTTGGTTGTTTAAATTGTTCATTGTTGGTTTTAATATGATTTTTATTGATAAATTTTAGTTCTGATGAGCAAAACCATCTTGTAATAGCAACTGTACAATTACCAAATGATGAAACTCATTTTGATGCCAGTCATTATGATCATGATAGAGGAGGTAACTTGATAATTTAATTTTCAAATATAATTGTATGATAAAAGAGATAACTTAATGACTTCATTTTCACTTTGTATTAAAATATAATTGTATGACAGAGTAGATAGCTTAATAACTTCATCATCACACAGTTTTTTTCTGCGCCACGCAGTTTTTGACATTTTTTGACCCCTTCCCCCTCGTAACACATCTGTAACACTTTTATTGACCCCCCCCCCCATATTATGCAACAATTTTGTACACCCCCCCTAAAATCTTTTTAAAATGTTTTTTAGGGGGGGATGGTAGGGGGTGCAAAATTTTACAAAATACAAAATGATTTTAAATATGTTTATAATTCTCTGAGCTTTTTTCAGTTAATTAGTTCTTTTCAATCTGTTTAATGCTTTTTTTTCACCCCAATAGTTTCGTGTAAAATTGTATGAATTAACATCGTTCTTTTAAACATGATACCAATTTTAAAAATCTATTCCTCCGATATATATAATACATGTAAAATATTATATATATAGTATATAATAAATAATAACATATCATACAAGCAAAAGTATTATTTTATAAAGACAATTTTCTTCTAAGTAGCAACGTAAACGTGCTCGAGTAGATTCTGCCTCCGGCTAGTAAACTGTGGGTTCCAGCTTCGATTCTCGGTGTCGAAATTTTTTGTTTTTATTATTGCACAAAAATTGTTTTTTTGTTGCTTCATAGTTTTGTGCACCAACAAAATAAAGTTCTGCACTTGAGCCATATAAATTCAAAGTGCAGAACGTGCACTGTACATACAGCTGTATGTACAGTCTGTAAACAGGCTGTAACTACTCCGTTAATGGAGTGTTTACATCGACTAAGTAAAATTTAGGCGTAGTTGATTTTACAATCAACATTTAGATACATCAACTGAGGTTTTTGGTTTGGTCAGATACTCTTTTAATTAAAAGAAAGTCTTCTCTAAAAAAAAAAAAAAAAATGTTGCATCACAAAATAGAGAACTATCTCCCCCCTTGTAACAAATCATCACAAAATTGCTTTCCCCCCCCCCCCCCCCTAAGCGTGATGTAATTTATTTACCCCTATTAAAATATAATTGCATTATGAATAGTTTATGAGTTATTTTAAAGATGTTATAGCAAAAGTAAATTCTCTTTATTTGTTTGTTTTTTTTAACAAATTTTCTTTAACAAGGCTGCAAGCAACTGGTACTTTCTAAAATTCTAAGTTTCTAAAATTGAGTTGAAGAGTTTCTAAAATTGAGTTGAAGAGCTAAAAAATGGTTTGACAGTTTAATTAAAATATTATAAAAATAAAAAAAGATTAATAAAATTACTAATTATTAATAAAAACTAATTAATAAAATTTATTTATAATAATTAAAGCTTGTATTTTTATAACAGACCAAATTCCAAAGCATTGATGTTTGTGAAGAGAAAAAAGAAGAATTACATTTTTTTGAGCATGAAGAAACAAGTGAATCTGTGAAATGTGAAATCAAGTGGACTTGAAAAATCCAGTTATAAATCCTAAACTATGATTACTTTACAATTCATATACATGCTTTCTTTTTAAACTTTTTTCAATTAAATGTTACTTTGTTACTTTTGTTTGTGTTGGTGAACTTTTGTTTAAAAATCAGAGATTTGCAGGTTTGCAAAAAAAAAAAAAAAGTATGAAGAGCTTTAAAATTTTTCAGCAAAAATCCATGGACTTCATATTGCATGATTACCAACCATACAAATGTACCAAAATCTATGTTTATAAACAAATAAGTTTAAGACAGAAATATAGCATACATAAATAGCAAGAAATACAAACTACAGAGAGATCTAGCTAGAAAATTCCAATTTTCATGTGCTTAAGTTAAAAAAGTGTTAAAAAATGCTTGAATTAAAGCATTTCATAAAAGATTGCACCAAACAGCAGCCTAGAAATTAAATTTTGCAACAAGTTCCTTATGTGTGAATAGTTTAAAAATACATCTTCTCTTTTTTGCATTTATCTTACATTTTTAAAAATTTTGATTATGGTGTATACAATTGCACAAAAAGAAATAAAACTGGTAGAGATATATCATTTCATGGATAAGGGGTTGTTCACAAATTACATTATACAATTTTTGACCATTTTAGATCCTTCCCCCCTCCCATCCCCTTGCCACAATATCGTAACTCTTTAGTAACAAGTTCCGTATGATTTGTTACAAATTTTCCACTTAAATGTGAGACAATCAGTTTCGTGTTTTTTCAATCTTGTCAATTTTTTAAAATACAATAACAAAATGTTATTGTATTTTAAAATAGCTTTTTTTCTTATATTACACACAATCCTATATAAAATGTTATAAGTGGATTTTTTACATATGCATATAAGATGTGTTTATATATAAGTGCAAATTTATTCCCATGCAATAAAGCTGTGCTTATTTAAAGAACCTGCTTGAAAAGTGTTGATTAATTGCAATCAATATAAGAGTTTATAAAATGGTTTGTTTTCCAATTACATACGTAATTCAATAGATCAGTGGTTTATTGGGCTGTCATTGGTGTTGTTTTGCGAGGGTTCAAATCTACCCTTTAGCACAATATGTTTTTTAATTTTTTTAATCTGGCCATATATATTTATAGCAGAAAGGACTTGTAAATGTTGAAATAAACATTAAGGTTTTTTCTAGCTATGGCCCTTTTTTTTTTTTTTTTAGTCTTCACAGCAGCTCCTTTTTGAGTAGCAGAACTGTCTTAAATTTTTTTTTTATTAAGTTTAAGACCATATTTTTTTCAGACCATCTGCAGCTTATTAGGACTATATACCTGAGCACATTGATAACATAAGTCAATCATGACACATGCTGGCATGTTGACTTCTGAAAATTTTAAAACTATATAATAGATAAAGGACTTGATAAAACGGAAATAAATGCTATAGATCAACATTAAGGAGATGTTGCTGCAATACAATTTTTATATGAAATCAATACTGCAAAACTTGATCTATGGTTTAGTATCTTTTAATATTACACAATTTTAAGTTTACATAAGTTAGATATTTGCATACACAGAGTTTGAGAAATTATTTTACCACCAGGTTATTATGTATTATGTACTATTATATAAAAGCAGTTTGCTTTTCATCAATATATATATATATATATATATATATATATATATATATATATATATATATATATATATATATATATATATATATATATATATATATATATATATTTTTTTTTTTTTTTTTTTTATTGAGTATAGTATCTTTACTATACAATGGTTCCCAAGGCTTTCCCAAGGGAATATTTAAAGTCGTAGTTAACTTCTAGCATTTGCCTGAAAAAGGTCATAATTTATGAGTTGTTAAAGTTGATTTAATAACTCAAGTTATGTTTTTTTTGTTTTGAAAAACATATTTGATTACTTAGTGAAAAATCACTTGATGACTTAGTGAAAAACACTTTTAATCACTTAGTTGCTTAGTAAAAAGCACACTTGATGACAATGAAAAATGTACTTAATGACTTTTTTTCAAAAATGTACTTAATAGCTTATTTGAATAAGTACTAAACTGAGTGAGACTAAATAAAACTAAGTAAAGATGTTTAAAACTGAGTTTTAAACATCTTTAACTAATTTTATAAAAAGTTTTTAGCAATAAAACTTTTATTTTAGTTAGAGTTAAACTTTTAATTTTTTTATTAATAGAGTTTGGTGGATTTGGTACTGTAAGCGGAAAAATTGACGTAGAAATTAAAATTAATCATGAAGGTGAAGTAAACAGGTAATTTTTTTCAGATGTTAGTGTTGTTTATATACTAACCAATTTTATTTTTTGTGTGATCGCACAGCAGTATATGACCATGCAAATAATATTTTGTTTTGTCATTTTGACCACGACAAAATGACAAAACAAAATATTAAAATATTTTAACTAATAAAAAAACTATAAAAAATCTTTTTTAAAAAAAGAAAAAAGTCTTGGTGAAGATGAAAATAAAACAAATTAAACTAAAACACAAAAGAAATAATAATATGGATGTATAATATAAAAAAATAAAAAATAAAATGGATAAAAATAAAATAAAGCTAAAAAAAAACTAAAACGAGATTATTTAAATCAAGTTTTTAATTACGCTTGGTAAACTTTTTTGTTCTTTTATCTTTACTAATGTTTTTATAATAATATGGAATACCCTTTAAAATAAAGCAACAACTTCTAAGGATTGTTTACTATGCATGTTAAATTATAGTTTTTTTTTTTCTTTTTACTAATTTGGAAGTTGTTAGTTTCCATATAAACGCTAGTTAAAAACTAAGCATTAAAAAAAAGATAAGTTAACTCGTTTTTAAACCATTTTATGATTTGTTTAAACCTACATTTTTTTAAACATTCATTTATTTGTATAAGATAATACATTATAAAGGAAAAATATTTACATCTTTGTTAATTAACTAAAGTTAATAAAAAAAAATTCTTAAAAATTCTTCATAGTAATATGAAAGAAAATAGTTGAATCATTTTCATTTTAATGGAAAGATAAAATAGCACTTTTCTTTTGTCAGAAATGCATTGTTTTTGTAAAGTTTTGTAAAAAAAATTCCGTTAGCTGTGATTTGTTACTTTATTTAAAAGTGTTTCAATAATGTAAAAACATTAGTAATAACCAAAGTTAGTTAATTCTTTTGGTTTTCAAAAATATTTTTTGTTTTTGAAATGTAAAAAGCTGTGGTTATATTGTCAAAACATTATATTATTTGTGTGGACATATAAACGCGTGCCTTCATGACCCAGACTATTAATATAATATATTATGTTATTTTGTATTGTCTGTTATTATGTATTATTATTATATATTATAAAAAAATGTTCACAAAAATAAGTTGTAAAATATTTGATATATAGAGCTCGTTATATGCCTCAAAATCCGTGTGTCATAGCAACTAAGACTCCAACTTCTGATGTTTTGATATTTGATTATACAAAACATCCTTCTAAACCAGGTATCTGTTGTTTATATTTATATATACACTCATTAAACCATGTATACTAAATTTTTATATCTACACTTGATGGTTTTCTGGACAAGGTCAATTCTTTATATAAGTATATTAAAATTATCTAATATTTAGTATATTAAGCTTATATATTTATTATATAACAGAGTTCATAGCACTCAGTGAAAATCTGGAAAACCAGGGAAATGTTTTGAAAATAGTGAAAATTAGTGAAAACTTTGAAAAGTTAGGGAAGTTTTTCTTAAATTATTTAAAATCAGGGAAAACTCTGAATATTTTCAAAATCATTCAAGCTGAATATTTGTTTTATATTAACAGCTTGAAGTTATTTTGCAGTATCCAAGTTTTGAGTCTTTTATTATTGGAAGTTAACACAGTTTTACATAATAAAATAAGACTTGTAACTCGACTTTGACTTTGACAATGACTTGTAACTTGGTTTGAAATTTAATTCAAGGTACAAGTCTCTTATTCAAGCTCTGAAAATTTTTTAGTAAATTAGATTTAGTAACCATCTGCAGCAATATAAAGCTAAGTTTGTTTTAATTCATTAGCTTAGTTTTTATGTTTTTAACATTTTATTGTGTCCTCATTGGGCATTGATGTCTGACAGCCTTTTAAGTTGAGTTTTTTTTTGCAAATTTAATGGATCAGAAAAATCATGTATTTAGTTTAAATACAAATGGATCAGAAAAAATCATGTATTTAGTTTAAATACAGCGTATATATTTGAAATTTATGTTTTCAACGTATTTTAAGTATAATAGGATTTAGTTGATTGCAAATACATTTAAAGTTGTTTACTTAATAAGTCAGGAGTTACAGACTTTTTTTTCTTTAACATCTTCACTTCTAACAAGGCTGCAAGCAACCACTATTAAGGTCGGTAGTTATTGGAAGAGGAAAGATGAAGTTTATAGAGCAAGATAACGAATGACAACGACTTTCCTGATTCATATAATTTACAACGATTGTAAGCTATATGAATCAGGAAAGCAAGATAAAGGAAGGAACTTGACTTGAGTATTGAATTGAACTGGCTTTGCTTGACTTTGGACTTGACTTAAGTGAAAAGACTTTATAGAGACTTGTGACTTGTAAAACAATGAATTGGTCATTGCTATAGTTGCGAACATGTTATATCCGTCAACATTATCAGGGAAATTCATATACTTTACTAAAATTCATAATACCAACTAAATTCAAGGAATAAATAATTGAAAATGAAAGAAAATTAGACAATAAATATTTGAAAACAAGAGAAAATCAGGGAATACTCAGGGAAAATTGATTTTAAAAATTGCTGTATAAAGTTATATAAATATAAGATACTCAGCCTTAAATATTAATTTTTTTCTTTCCTACAAGACAATTGATTTGAAAATTTACAAGAATTTTCGCGTTAGCTAAACCACTAAATCAATATTCTGAATTCATCTGAATCCAAGCTGCGGTCTAAATTTTCACTGTGACAATTTTATTAATATTTTATTCTCTGCTAAACTACGTTTTCTTTATTATCTCCCAGAATCATAAAAAAATAACAAATTTATTGCATATATAATATTAACTGAAATTTTAAAATAATATTTATACACTTTTTTTAGATCCTTCCACAGGATGCACTCCAGAGCTACGCTTAAAAGGTCATTCTAAAGAAGGTTATGGCTTGTCATGGAACCCTAATTTATCAGGACATTTATTAAGTGCATCTGATGATCACACAATTTGTTTATGGGATCTTAATAATGCTGCAAAAGAAGCTAAGATGCTTGATGCATCACGTATTTTCAATGGTCATTCAGATGTTGTAGAAGATGTATCATGGCATTTGCTTCATGAAAGTTTATTTGGTTCAGTTGCTGATGATCACAAGCTTATGATGTAATTATTTTAAATATTATTACTTTTTTTGTTATATTAAATTAATTTTAATTATATTTATTAAATTATATTTTATAATTAAATATGATTAAAAATATAATTGTATATAATAGAATAATTAATGGAAAATTTTTAAGTTAGACTAGTTTTTTAATCATTACAGATTTTACTTTTACTAACACCAACTTTTTTATACAAAATTGTAGTTATCACTTTATTTTTACTTAAAAATAGTACATCAGAAAAACCTCTGGTCAAGCATGAAATGTTAATAACAATTTTTTTTTTGAGTCCTGGTCTCAAATATTTTTACTGAAAAAACTTACTAATTTAATAAAACAGTCAGCTACTATATTTAACTCGATAACCAAAAATTTGAACTAAAAATCAAAGCTAGAGAATAAAGATAATATAAAAAATAAATCATTCAACTTTTATTGTAATTATTGTTTAGTTAGTTTATAGCATTATAAAAAACAAATAACATCTGGTTAGATCAGAACAGATATTTTGTTCATCTCCTCAGCTTGATGACCACCAGAATTTTAAGAAATAAGTCATTAGTCATAGTTTTATAAAAGTTAAGAGTATCAGAAATCAGTGAAAGTTTTGGGGTATTTAAGCTACACTTAAAAATTATTTAGTAAAATATATACATACATACAGGAGTCGAAATAAGTGCCAGACTTTGCTGCCCCACGGACCATTCCTAAGACCTCTCAGGTTTTTCAATATTTAGATAAAAAATTGATAAAATAAAATTAATTATGTTTTAGTAATAGTTTTTAAATTTTTACACTGCAATATTTTGTATTGTATCACAGGCCTTGCGATAAAGCGTCGGGCGATGTGAATTTTACGTCGTCCAAGAGCGATTTTGCGTGTAGCTAGGGCTATTTGCGTTGAGCAAAAAATTTTTTGTTTGAGTATATTTAAAGATATTTTTGAGCGGAATTTTAATGAAGTAATTTACAATTATTTTAACATTTAGTAAAGTATTTTAAAAACCGCACGCAGTTGAAATAAAAGTTTAAATTTAAAAAAGTTAAATATGCTCATTATTTACAAGTAGAAAAAATTCAAAAATTAAAAAAAAAGTTTAAATCTTTTAAGCTAACATTTAATTAAAATTATTCAGCAATAGCAAAGTTGTTGATAAAATTGAACAAAAATACTTTCTTTTAGTTTTAGATTTTAAACTTAAATAATTATTTTACGGGGGTTTGTTAGGTTTTAAAATTATTCCATAGATTTAAAAATATTTATTAACTGTTAGACGTATTTAAAGTATTTAAGAGTAATTTCGAGGAAACATTTTAAAAATTGGTGAAGACAAATAAAAAAATAAAAAAGGATTAATATTAAAACGTATTCTACTTGATTCAATAAAAAAGTACAGTTATTAAAATTTTTGTAAAAAGTAACTCAAAAAAATTACTTAAATAATAACGATCGCTTTTATGTTAAAAGTTACCGAAACTCAACGAAGCGTGCTCAAGAACAGCTGCTGAAAAATAGAACGTCAATAGTTTTTCGAATAATTTTTAAGAATAATTTTTTCGCTGAAATATTTCTTTTATACCTATAAGATTTTTATTCTAACATTTTATTTTATTTTACTAGAAATAAAATTCGATAATTAGAAATAAAATACGAGTGATTGTGCTTATCAACCGCTTTTTGAAAATAAATAAAAATAAATAAATAAATATTATATAAAATCGCTTGTAAAAATATTAGCTATTGCACAGTTTTTAATCGTACAATATTAATATTTCCAGTTTATTACTCGCTGACTTTTTAAAAAGAAAAAATAATTATTTGAAAAACTTTAAATTACATATTTAAGAAAAAAAAGATCAAATATTAGCATATTTTATAATCTTTTTTAAATTTAAATTATAATGTTTTTTATTTGTTTAGTATAGACAAAACGTGACAAACGTCGAGAAAATAAACAAATGTTTTTACAATTTAAGAAACGAAACATTCCAAAACATTTTTAAATAATAACATTTCTACATAAACGATTTAAAGTAGTTTTGCGGTAATTAAGTAAATTGGTGCAGTTAATGTCGATAAATATGAAAAGCAAATAAAAAGAATTTAATGACGGCAAAAATCACGTGCTTATGTGTCGTGCAGTTCTTATTCATCGCAAGGCCTGGTATCACAAATACATCAGAATAACAATCTTCAGCATTAGTTGTTTTTTTGATATATATTTAAACATTTAAACTTTTTCTAGAAAAATTGTTAATAAGAACGCTTCGTTTAATCAAAATTTTTTCAACTCCTGATGAACTCCTGATATCTCAAACCTCTAAGGGATCAAGATATTAGTTCAAGTTAGGGAATGTTCAACATTTTATAACACAAACCTTTGCTGATAAGTAAAAACAGTTAAAGTTATCAAAAGTTTTGTTATCAAAGGTAAAAGCAATACATTATAAATTAAAAATGTTCTAATGTCACTCTGTCTTAGTTTTGAAGAAACGTCTCAAAAGAAAAATATAATTGACATTGAGCTTTTGTTGAAAATCTTTACCTCTAAGGCATATAACCATACAAAACTTGCAGTGCTTCCTGAATTTTAGTAACTTTCGGGCAAACTGGATTAATCACATTATCATCATCATCATCATCATCATCATCATCATCATCATCATCATCATCATCATCATCATCATCATCATCATCATCATCATCATCATCATCATCAGCATCAAGTTCATTCACTGCATTTTTATTTCATCTATCAACTGTTTATCTGTTAGTAAAGGTACTGTGGTCATTAAGTTTTAATCTGCGGAAATGATATCTCCAATTGTTGTACCTAAAGGGTAAAATTTTTTTTTATTCTTTAAGTACAACAACTGGAGATGTTTAAGTTTTTCTATCTGATTTTGAAGCTCTTTAAATAGGCTGTCGTCTTCATCCAAATAGGCAGGTTTCTGCTGTCGTCTTCATCCAAATAGGCAGGTTTCTGCTGATCTTCCGAGTTTTCTGATTTTGAAAAACAATTAGTGATAATAGAGGTTTTCACTTTGTGCCATGCAAGATCAAGCATTTCATTGCATCTAAAATCGAAAAAAAAAGGAAGATCTTTTCTTTTATCCATAGCTATGACTAGTCCTAATAATGCCAAAGATCTGTAATAAACTTTCAAAGAGCATATAACACCCTAATCCATTGTTTGAGGTTTAGACATTTAGTTTTTGGTGGTAAAAAATGAGCTTCATAGATTTTAGATTATCAACCCTGGGGTGTGCTGGGCAATTATCTATCATAAATGCTACTTTTTTTTTTTCTTTTGTAAACTTTGTATCCCTATTCTGTATCCACTCTTTGAACAGTACACTATCCATACAGCTTTTATTTTGATTTCTGTATCTGCAAGGTAATGCCAAAGTCTATTGAAATGGCGAGGTGATTATAATTTATTTATTACAAACATAGGAATTGTATTACCCACTGCATTTGCTGTGACCATCCCAGTAAAACGAATTTTATTGTACTTTCTTCCTATACAAGCCTCAGATCGTACTTATTAGGTTGCATATAAAAAAATAATATAAATTCAACTGTGTTATAAATTTCATCAAGTTTATACCTGGATAAAACTCTAGGGATGTTTGTTTCCTTTCATGACGCGGTTGTATCAGCTATACAAAAGTTACCCTCTCTGCATACTGTCTTAAAATAAACATATCTTTTTCCAACGATCAAGCCAACCATCAAGCACTTGATATTAATCAAGTTCTTGATTAATCCTTGATATTAATCAAGTTCTCTCACTTTTGTTTTTAAAATTGATTCTCAAACTACTTTGTTTCTATTCCTTACATTTAAAAGCCATTTACAAACGTGATTATCTAAATTTAAAAATTTTCCTTATTTAATTCTTATACGTTTTGACTTGTTCCCTTGCATTTTCATAGATTCAAAAATTTTTTCTTTATTTTTGATCCATGTTGACAACGCAGGCTTTCACAGGAAGACATGCGATTTCGCGTCTTTATATGACCACACAAAAAATGTTTTAACGATTTGACCATGACATATTTTTAAAATTTAAAAATGCGCTACAAAAACTTACCTAAACTTATCTGAAAAAAAAATTTAAAAAAATAATAAATCTTAACGAAAGAGAAAATAAAAAAAAAAAAAAAAAAAAATAGTGAGTTAAAGCAAGAACACAAAAAAATAAGTATATATATATGTATAATGCAACTAAAACAAAACTCATCAAACTAAAATGCTTAGTCTATTTAATTTACGGATTAAAAAATTATTTCAATCTTTGTTTCAACATTTTTATATATTTTTTTATTTATTTAATGTTCAAAAGTTAAATATTTCTCATAAAAAATACATAGTTATATAAATAAAATAAAAAAACATTTTATTAATACTTTTTTTAAAATTAATTAGAAGTGTTTTTTTTTTACTTCATTAAAAGCGTTTCGATAATATAAAAGCATTTAAGATCAAATTTATTAAATTGTAACGGTTTTCTAAAACTTTTTAAATGCATTAACTTTAATCATTCTTATTCGTTAAAAAGACTTTCGTAGTCGTAGAATGTCATCGTTTATAAAACAAAACAATTTTTTATTTTTTGATAAGGTTTATTTTAGAAATGAACGCTTAAACAATTTATATGTTTTAAAATAAAAAAATATATGCAACTGTCAATTATATTTAAAAACAAAACTTTTTTTCAGTAAATTGTTACTTTATTTAAAATCGTTTCGCTCATATAAAAACATTTGTTAAGAAGTTTTGATGTAATTAATTTCACTTTTTTAGAATATTTTTTATTTAGCGCGTTTCTAAAATGTTTTTTGAATTAGCCGCAGTCAAACTGTCATAGCAGAATGTAACTTGGTCATATAAAGACGTGAAATCGCACGTCTTTCTGTGAAACCTGCAACGTATTTTTTGGAGCACCATATTTCATAGCAACCTGAGACTTTGACAATCAATCTTTTTTCTTT